ACCTGACGTACTACAGTGACCCACTGCAGCTCAAAAACCTGTTGTAGTTCAACCAAAGCTTTGCTCACTGTACCTGTCTATGGTAGCTCAAATGCCTGTTGTACTAGCCTACGGTAGCTCAAATCACCCACCGTACAACAGTAGCCTACGGTAGCTCGAGAACTTGTTGTAGTCCAACCAAAAGTATCAACCTACAGTAGCTCAAATGCTTGTGGTAAACCACCCACCAAACCCACCTACACCTATGGTAGCTCAAACAGCTGTCATACTACATCAAAGCTCTGTATTCACTGTACCCATCTACGGTTGCTCCCTGTGTGTACCGTACAACCCTACGGGAGCTCAAACACCTCCCGTACTACAGAGCTCTGTGTTCACTGTACGCCCCTACAATAGCTTGAATGGCTCTCGTAAACACCTACGGTAGCTCAAACACCCATTGTACTACATCAAAGCTCTGTGTTCACTGTACCCATCTACGGTTGCTTGAATGGCTGTCGTAACCACCTACGGTAGCTCAAACACCCATCGTACCTACCTACGGTAACTTGAACCACCTACGGAAACTTGCATCACCCATTGTACTATATCAAAGCTCTGTGTTCACTGTTTGCACCTACGGTCGCTCCCTACGTGTACCGTACAGCCCTATGGTAGCTCAAACAACCCACCGTACGTGACTGCGGCACCACAGTAGCTCAAACAACCCACCGTACGTGATTGTCTGCCATACCACCCTACGGCAGCCCTCTGCGCTGTGCCTAGGGCTGCTTGCGCAACTGACAGACTTCCTCGGCCAATTCAACAAGCACCAGCTAGCAAAAAAATCGCAGATCAGAGAGCTGTGTGCAGCAAAAACTACAAAACTCAAGAGCCTGATGCATCTCTCTACTCAGGAGATGAATCTGAGTGAGCTGCCTTATGCCTGTCAGCCTTAGACAGAACTGGGGCGTGGCTGTTGGGATGTGTCGCAACACGGTAGCTCTTCGAGTTGCTGCGGCATAGCCTTGCAGTTAGGGGCCTCCACAAACCAGGATAGTCCCCCTCACAGGTCTAGCAATAGGCCGTCAAGCCTTTGAGCAAAGCTTGAAGGTAGATGCATTGCAAATTGGGCTTTGAACCTCAGTTTTGTATTGTGTTCAGTAACTCTGGTACACCCATTGAGAGCTGACTCAATCCAAAAGGAAAGCTTCAAGGTTTGGTTTGCTCTGCGCACGCCCGTATGATGTAATGCACTCATTGTATTGAGTGTCCAGCTTGTAGCACGCTTCAAGTCAATTGAACAGTGCTGTAATGCTGCATTATGGGGAGCAATCTGAAATCAGATGCATATGTTGACGTAATGGAGATGGTGGTCTGCCTAACCTGTTGCGTCAATGAGGATTGCGGTGATGAATGATGTCTTCTGCAGGTGAGATTGCTTGATTGGCCCTTTAGGTGGTTTGCAATCATTCGATCAGTTGGTTCTTCAGGTGGCTTCAATCAATTGATCAATCGATCGCGTTCATTCAGTTGGCTTCAATCGATCGTGATTCATTCAGTTGGCTTCAATCAATCATCATTCATTCAGTTGGCTTCAATCGATCAAT